TGGCCGCTGATGGGATTACACGGCGCCAGGGGGCCAGGTGTTGGGTGTGACCCCCGCCTACTGGAATTTGGAGGATCTGGCTGGAAGATGCTCGACTCCAATTCGAGTAGGCTTGGAGGTCTCGGCCCCGGAACCCGCGTGGCTTTTTCCCTCTGCCAGTACCTTCATGTGTGCGGAGAGTGGTCTCAGCATGGTGTTGGCTGGTCCTGGAGGTCTTCGGCTGCCGAAGCCCTGGTCGGGGCGGGGAGGAAAGCTCAACCCGCTCCCATCCAAGGGAATCCGGGAAGGAACACTCAGGCGCGGGGGCAGAGACTGCACTGTTCTCGTCTGGGATCTGGATTTTATAGTCTCTTAGTCTTGGCCGCTGATGGGATTACACGGCGCCAGGGGGCCAGGTGGTGGGTGTGACCCCCGCCTACTGGAATTTGGAGGATCTGGCTGGAAGATGCTCGACTCCAATTCGAGTAGGCTTGGAGGTCTCGGCCCCGGAACCCGCGTGGCTTTTTCCCTCTGCCAGTACCTTCATGTGTGCGGAGAGTGGTCTCAGCATGGTGTTGGCTGGTCCTGGAGGTCTTCGGCTGCCAAAGCCCTAGTCGGGGCGGGGAGGAAAGCTCAACCCGCTCCCCTCCAAGGGACTCCGGGAAGGAACACTCAGGCGCGGGGGCAGAGACGGCACTGTTCTCGTCTGGAATCTGGATTTTATAGTCTCTGAGTCTTGGCCGCTGATGGGATTACACGGCGCCAGGGGGCCAGGTGGTGGGTGTGACCCCCGCCTACTGGAATTTGGAGGATCTGGCTGGAAGATGCTCGACTCCAATTCGAGTAGGCTTGGAGGTCTCGGCCCCGGAACCCGCGTAGCTTTTTCCCTCTGCCATTACCTTCATGTGTGCGGAGAGTGGTCTCAGCATGGTGTTGGCTGGTCCTGGAGGTCTTCGGCTGCCGAAGCCCTGGTCGGGGCGGGGAGGAAAGCTCATCCCGCTCCCCTCCAAGGGACTCCGGGAAGGAACACTCAGGCGCGGGGGCAGAGACTGCACTGTTCTCGTCCGGGATCTGTATTTTATAGTCTCTGTGTCTTGGCCGCTGATGGGATTACACGGCGCCAGGGGGCCAGGTGGTGGGTGTGACCCCCGCCTACTGGAATTTGGAGGATCTGGCTGGAAGACGCTCGACTCCAATTCGAGTAGGCTTGGAGGTCTCGGCCCCGGAACCCGCGTGGCTTTTTCCCTCTGCCAGTACCTTCATGTGTGCGGAGAGTGGTCTCAGCATGGTGTTGGCTGGTCCTGGAGGTCTTCGGCTGCCGAAGCCCTGGTCGGGGCGGGGAGGAAAGCTCAACCCGCTCCCCTCCAAGGGACTCCGGGAAGGAACACTCAGGCGCGGGGGCAGAGACGGCACTGTTCTCGTCTTGGATCTGGATTTTATAGTCTCTGAGTCTTGGCCGCTGATGGGATTACACGGCGCCAGGGGGCCAGGTGGTGGGTGTGACCCCCGCCTACTGGAATTTGGAGGATCTGGCTGGAAGATGCTCGACTCCAATTCGAGTAGGCTTGGAGGTCTCGGCCCCGGAACCCGCGTGGCTTTTTCCCTATGCCAGTACCTTCGTGTGTGCGGAGAGTGGTCTCAGCATGGTGTTGGCTGGTCCTAGAGGTCTTCGGCTGCCGAAGCCCTGGTCGGGGCGGGGAGGAAAGCTCAACCCGCTCCCCTCCAAGGGACTCCGGGAAGGAACACTCAGGCGCGGGGGCAGAGACGGCACTGTTCTCGTCTGGAATCTGGATTTTATAGTCTCTGAGTCTTGGCCGCTGATGGGATTACACGGCGCCAGGGGGCCAGGTGGTTGGTGTGACCCCCGCCTACTGGAATTTGGAGGATCTGGCTGGAAGATGCTCGACTCCAATTCGAGTAGGCTTGGAGGTCTCGGCCCCGGAACCCGCGTGGCTTTTTCCCTCTGCCAGTACCTTCGTGTGTGCGGAGAGTGGTCTCAGCATGGTGTTGGCTGGTCCTGGAGGTCTTCGGCTGCCGAAGCCCTGGTCGGGGCGGGGAGGAAAGCTCAACCCGCTCCCCTCCAAGGGACTCCGGGAAGGAACACTCAGGCGCGGGGGCAGAGACTGCACTGTTCTCGTCTGGGAACTGGATTTTATAGTCTCTGAGTCTTGGCCGCTGATGGGATTACACGGCGCCAGGGGCCAGGTGGTGGGTGTGACCCCCGCCTACTGGAATTTGTAGGATCTGGCTGGAAGATGCTCGACTCCAATTCGAGTAGGCTTGGAGGTCTCGGCCCCGGAACCCGCGTGGCTTTTTCCCTCTGCCAGTACCTTCATGTGTGCGGAGAGTGGTCTCAGCATGGTGTTGGCTGGTCCTGGAGGTCTTCGGCTGCCGAAGCCCTGGTCGGGGCGGGGAGGAAAGCTCAACCCCCTCCCCTCCAAGGGACTCCGGGAAGGAACACTCAGGCGCGAGGGCAGAGACGGCACTGTTCTCGTCTGGGATCTGGATTTTATAGTCTCTGAGTCTTGGCCGCTGATGGGATTACACGGCGCCAGGGGGCCAGGTGGTGGGTGTGACCCCCGCCTACTGGAATTTGGAGGATCTGGCTGGAAGATGCTCGACTCCAATTCGAGTAGGCTTGGAGGTCTCGGCCCCGGAACCCGCGTGGCTCTTTCCCTCTGCCAGTACCTTCATGTGTGCGGAGAGTGGTCTCAGCATGGTGTTGGCTGGTCCTGGAGGTCTTCGGCTGCCGAAGCCCTGGTCGGGGCGGGGAGGAAAGCTCAACCCGCTCCCCTCCAAGGGACTCCGGGAAGGAACACTCAGGCGCGGGGGCAGAGACTGCACTGTTCTCGTCCGGGATCTGGATTTTATAGTCTTTGAGTCTTGGCCGCTGATGGGATTACACGGCGCCAGGGGCCAGGTGGTGGGTGTGACCCCCGCCTACTGGAATTTGGAGGATCTGGCTGGAAGATGCTCGACTCCAATTCGAGTAGGCTTGGAGGTCTCGGCCCCGGAACCCGCGTGGCTTTTTCCCTCTGCCAGTACCTTCATGTGTGCGGAGAGTGGTCTCAGCATGGTGTTGGCTGGTCCTGGAGGTCTTCGGCTGCGGAAGCCCTGGTCGGGGCGGGGAGGAAAGCTCAACCCGCTCCCCTCCAAGGGACTCCGGGAAGGAACACTCAGGCGCGGGGGCAGAGACTGCACTGTTCTCGTCCGGGATCTGGATTTTATAGTCTCTGAGTCTTGGCCGCTGATGGGGTTACACGGCGCCAGAGGGCCAGGTGGTGGGTGTGACCCCCGCCTACTGGAATTTGGAGGATCTGGCTGGAAGTTGCTCGACTCCAATTCGAGTAGGCTTGGAGGTCTCGGCCCCGGAACCCGCGTGGCTTTTTCCCTCTGCCAGTACCTTCATGTGTGCGGAGAGTGGGCTCAGCATGGTGTTGGCTGGTCCTGGAGGTCTTCGGCTGCCGAAGCCCTGGTCGGGGCGGGGAGGAAAGCTCAACCCGCTCCCCTCCAAGGGACTCCGGGAAGGAACACTCAGGCGCAGGTGCAGAGACTGCACTGTTCTCGTCCGGGATCTGTATTTTATAGTCTCTGAGTCTTGGCCGCTGATGGGATTACACGGCGCCAGGGGCCAGGTGGTGGGTGTGACCCCCGCCTACTGGAATTTGGAGGATCTGGCTGGAAGATGCTCGACTCCAATTCGAGTAGGCTTGGAGGTCTCGGCCCCGGAACCCGCGTGGCTTTTTCCCTCTGCCAGTACCTTCATGTGTGCGGAGAGTGGTCTCAGCATGGTGTTGGCTCGTCCTGGAGGTCTTCGGCTGCCGTAGGTCTGTTCGGGGCTTGGAGGAAAGCTCAACCCGCTCCCCTCCAAGGGACTCCGGGAAGGAACACTCAGGCACGGTGGCAGAGACTGCACTGTTCTCGTCCGGGATCTGGATTTTATAGTCTCTGAGTCTTGGCCGCTGATGGGATTACACGGCGCCAGGGGGCCAGGTGGTGGGTGTGATCCCCGCCTACTGGAATTTGGAGGATCTTGCTGGAAGATGCTCGACTCCAATTCGAGTAGGCTTGGAGGTCTCGGCCCCGGAACCCGCGTGGCTTTTTCCCTCTGCCAGTACCTTCATGTATGCGGAGAGTGTTCTCAGCATGGTGTTGTGTGGTCCTGGAGGTCTTCGGCTGCTGTAGCCCTGGTCGGGGTGGGGAGGAAAGCTCAACCCGCTCCCCTCCAAGGGACTCCGGGAAGGAACTCTCGGGCGCGGGGGCAGAGACTGCACTGTTCTAGTCCGGGATCTGGATTTTATAGTCTCTGAGTCTTGGCCGCTGATGGGATTACACGGCGCCAGGGGGCCAGGTGGTGGGTGTGATCCCCGCCTACTGGAATTTGGAGGATCTGGCTGGAAGATGCTCGACTCCAATTCGAGTAGGCTTGGAGGTCTCGGCCCCGGAACCCGCGTGGCTTTTTCCCTCTGCCAGTACCTTCATGTATGCGGAGAGTGGTCTCAGCATGGTGTTGGCTGGTCCTGGAGGTCTTCGGCTGCCGAAGCCCTGGTCGGGGCGGGGAGGAAAGCTCAACCCGCTCCCCTCCAAGGGACTCCTGGAAGGAACACTCAGGCGCGGGGGCAGAGACTGCACTGTTCTCGTCCGGGATCTGGATTTTATAGTCTCTGAGTCTTGGCCGCTGATGGGATTACACGGCGCCAGGGGCCCAGGTGGTGGGTGTGACCCCCGCCTACTGGAATTTGGAGTTACCAGTTACTCAACAGAGGAGCAGTGGAGAGAATAGAATAAAGGCTATCCTTATTTTAAAGAAATCAGCCACCCTGTTTTCCTTTCCTCAGGCTATTCAGGTAAAATCAGATACCGTTTTGTTGAAGGAAATGACCATAATCTCTCCTCCTTGGCCCTCCTGGTTTTATTCTTTCCCCTCCTGGAGAACTTGTAATGATTCCCAGTGAATTTGAAAAACTTTTTTTACTGTTTCAAAGGATGGCAGAGCTACAGAAGAGAGGCAGAGTATGTTTTCAGAACAGAGCCTTCTTACCAACATGCTCCTGCAGCGGCGCTGTGGAGTGTGCAGCCTGAGCAGAGAGTATCTTCTCAATAGCAGGGGGCAGCCTCCTCCAGTTGGTGAACTCCAACGTGAAGATAAGGTCCTCATCACTGACTGCATCAATCCTACAGAAGCAAGATGGTAACATGTCATTACACAGAAGGTGTACCAAGAACTCACACTACAATCAAGCAACACTTCATTTTAATGTGGAAGACTGACAAAAATAGAAAAATATTCATGTTAGGTCAGAGAGATAGTATAGCCGGGAGGGCACTTGCCGTGCACATGGATGACCCAGGTTTGTTCCCCAGCATCCCATATGGTGCCCCAAGAACCGCCAGAAGTAATTCCTGAGTGCAGAGCCAGGAGTAACCCCTGAGCACTACCACGTGTGCCCCCCACCCCCAAAAAGAAAAATATTCATTCAAAGGGAGTGAAATTCAGCAGCTAAGAGTAATTATCAACAGGTTCCTAAAGGAAATGAAACTGAGTCTAATTACCCACATGGTAAGAGAAATCTCTAGTCTTGTAGACTCCCGGAAGATTCCTTCCCATTCCCCAGAAGAAGGGGTAAGAAAAGACAGACAGCATCAATGAAGCTAGTGGATTTGCATTATCTTCTCCCAAAAAACCATCCTGCTAATCATAGATACATAATAGTACTGAAAAGATAGAACCCAAACTCCCCGTTATTCCTACTTTGAGAGTCTAGGAAAGAGGACTTGTTTCTATTCAAAACCCAAGGTCGTGCAACTTTCTCCCTTTTAGAAGTTGTGCCCTACACAATGTACTAGAGCTAAGTTTTATCTTTAAGGACTGAACAAATGTGTTCAAGACAGTTAATCTCCATGTGTTTTTCAAATAATGTCAGATTTTCTAACAATATAGCCCCCTGCTCCCTCCAAGGTCCCTAAATTCATGAGAACTTGAATCACTGGTTTAAGCAAAGTTCTGAATGCTGTTTATTGATTCAGTATGGAATTTAGGGTTGCAGCTTCAAACTCTGCATGGACACATCACTTGCTGTCCCCACATTCAAAGTGCCAGTGCTTCATGGCACCCAAAGATTCCTTACTAATTCCTCTCACCCCACCCAACTGTCCCCTGCCGTAGCACAGGAGTCTTTACCAACTATAAGTTTTTTAATTTTTTTCACCAGTTAATATGCTTTATTTGTTCCAATTGCATGTATGAGTGAACCAATCTAGTAATCGTCTTTCACATCTTGCTGCATCTAGCACAATCATGTCAAGATGCATCCGTTTTGTGTCACTGCTTCATTTTTTTAAGGTTGAGAAGTATTTCTTTGAGAATCTATACTATAGCAAGTATAGCAAGCATAAAATCTATACTATAGTATATACTATACTATTGTCTATGCAGCTATCTGATAATTGACATATTTAGGTTGATTCTGTGTTTTAGTTACTGTAAATAATGGTACTATGAACATAGGACTGTAGATATTCTTTCAAATTAGTGCTTTCATACTCTTTGGATAAACACCTAGGCCTGGTATTAATGGATCATTATGGAACTGCCATTTTTATTTCACAAAAAACCTCTAGACATTTTCCAAGTAGCACCAACCTATACTCCCACTACAACTACAGGAATTCTCTTTTCTTCCCAGGTGTGAGGTGAGATCTCATTGTAACTTTATTAATTTCCCCTGGCATTTATTACTTGTGTGTCTGTGGGCTGTTTGTCCATTTGTTTATTCCCTCCCTTCCCCCTTTCTTTACCATCATAGCTGTTGATGCTGACACTGAAATACCAGAATTCACATAGACAAGTGGCTGTGACACTTAGACTTTCAGCAGTGGTCCCCAGTCCACAGTACTCACCCACAGTGAGCGACAGTTCTCAGCAGTGTCTGTGCTCCTTTCGCACTGCTGCTTGCACATGCGCTCACCATGGTAGGAGGATATACACTGTGCTTGCAACCCTTGCCAGAGGTCAGAGTGACTGTGAGCCCACACATCTCTCGCTATTGCAGCACTCACCAGGGTCTCACTGATTGTGGTGCCCACACATCTCTCCCTGTTGCAACCCTCGCCAGCAGTCAGGCTGACTGGAGCCCATGAATCTCTCCCTGTTGCAGGTCTCACTGACTCTGATGCCCACACATCTCTCCCTGTTGTAGTCCTTGCCAGTGATCAGGCTGACTGTTGAGCCGATACATAGCTCCCTGTTGCAGGTCTCATTGACTGTGGTGCCCACACATCTCTCCCTGTTGCAGCCCTCGCCAGTGGTTAGGCTGACTATGGAGCCCACATATCTCCCTGATGCAGTACTCACAAGGGTCTCACTGACTTAGGAGCCCTCACATCTCTTCCTGTTGCAAGTCTCACTGGTTGTGGTGCCCACACATCTCTGCTTGTTGCAGTGATCACCAGGGTCTCACTATGGTGCCCCAACATTTCTCCCTGCTGCAGTGCTCACTGACTATGGTGCCCACATATCTCTCCCTGTTGCAGTGCTCACCAGGGTTACACACACCTGGCTGTAATGTGTCTGGGCACTGTCTACAGTGCCAGGGAGAGTAGACAGAAGAGTTCAATCATGCTCTGAAAACAGAACTACGAGGATTGTGCTCAGCACATGTGGAAACACCGGAATTTACCCTTGAGACTGGATGCAAAGCCACTAAGGAGGCATTTGGGGACACTGAATTCCTCCCACAGCCCTGCTACCGTCTTCTCTGGATAGTTTTCTATTCAGTTGCTTGCCCGTTCTTTGACTAGGTTGCTTATTTCCTTGGGGGCCTCCCATGAAATGTTTGGGTTCTCCAGGTGCCACTGCTGGTAATATTCAGTTCAGCTGGACGGGTCCAACAGCTCAATGCAGCAATGCAAAGCTTCTCAGGCCCCGTGGTTCTAGAGGGCCCTGAGACCACCTGGACTGCTACTCTGTGTTCAGGAATCACTCCTGGCAGTGCTTAGGGAATCATATCAGGTGGCGGGGACTGAACCTGAATTGGCCCACATGTAAGACAAGCCATCCTACCTGCTGTAATTGGGCTCCAGCCCGTTGACATGTAGTTGTACTTTTGTGGAAAACAATTTGCTGTCATCTATTCTACCATAAGTCAGAAAAGTTCTGATTTTTAGTAACATTGGTCTTTAAGCCATCAATCCTGGTCTTAAAATGAAAATAATGTTTATGTTGCTTAGTTCAAGAGTGGAGCTGGTAAGCTACAGAGAGTAACTCGCCTGCATGGCAAAGCCTGGCAAGCTACCCGTGACGTATTCGATATGCCAAACACAGTAACAAGTCTCACAATGGAGACGTTAGAGCAAATCGATGAACAACGGGAGGACAGTGTTACAGTGCTACAGTTCAAGAGTGTATATGAAAATAATGAGAACTCTAATAGATACTTTTACAACAATACAATGTTATAAAAATACTTCAAAAAGATCACCTTCTTAAAGATATTACTGAGCCAAAATAAGCAAAGGAAAACAAAAAGAAAAGAAAGAAAATAAGCAGTACTCTAATCTTTCTTCTCTAAAAGTTTGCTTCTTACAACTCAATGTACCATTACAAGACCTGATTGGAGATTATAAAAGTTATTTCTCAAGTCCTTTATTCTCTAATATGCTAAAGAGTAGCACAAATGCTATGGGTAGACATTTTCTTCTCAGAATACTGTCAGTCAGATTGCAAGCGAGAATAGACGAAAAGAAAAGATATACTGAAAGAACAACCTTCTTGATTTTCCAGATTACCAAAAATGACTGGTTTTGGCATCCACTCTCCAGCAGTATCTCAATGATTTCATTTCTCAGTTTTAATGTGCGTTAAGCCTCACTGTGACCAAACACTAGTTATCTAAGCCTATTCTTGAAAAATAAATTTGTGTTATACAGTGTTAGTAAATATAATGTTTATGTGTCACTGATGCCACTAAAAATGTACTGTTACTGTATTACACTGGCCATTATATTGCACAAAGTAATTGTACAATCGTAACCAAATAATAGTGAGTCAACCTAACCACTGATGACATTTACTTTGCCAATTACATTGTAGGGGAAGCTATTATTGCGTTTAAAATTGAAAAAATATTTCAACTTTGTAGATTACATTGTGACAGGCAATTATTCAGCCAGATACATTTTTAAGAGTGTTTAATACAGGCAATACCTAGAAAAGACATTTATAATTTACACGACAAAGATTAAGCAACTCACATATGATATAAAAAAGATACAACTAAAATATACTTTACCAACATACTGGCATTTCTATAGAATAATGTTTTATAACTATTCTTTGAGTATAAATTTGATCAAAGAAATCAAAACATCTGTCATTTCAACACAAACACTGGCTTTATCCATTCAACAAAGATTGGTGAACAAAAATTTAACCATGCTAAAGCATTTTCACTGCTAAAGTGAAATTCCCCATTGTATTTTTCCCTAATGAATATAAAGTGACTAAAGTTATTCCTTTAGAGTAAAATATATGCAATTGGCATTCTCAGTTGAGGTAGCCGAAACTTTCAATTTATCTCAAAATAAGTCGTAATTTACTGATTCTTAACTCTTTTCTATATCAATACAACCAGTAAATATAGTATACATCCAGTGAATTATTATCACAAAATTCTAAAAAAGGACTCCTCACACAGGGAAGAAATTTGTGTCAGAACTGTGGATGGGACAGTGTATTTTAAAGACCTTCTGAGGACAGTAAAGCTACACAATCCCTCTCCCTCCAGAATCCCTTGTAGTTTGCTAAGGAAAAGAAAGAAAAAGAAGCATGTGCAGTCTTTTTTCTCAGCGTAGGATCTTCCTACCTTAAGAGTAGGAAAAATAGACATCTACCACTTAGATGAAGCAGGGATTAAGGCTAAAGTACCTGAGAAGTCTGAGAAATGGCGACCCAGGTTGAAGTGCATGCCTGACACTGAGAGGCCCTAGTCCCAGTACCACACGTATGACCCAGGACTATGACGCCAGTCCACATCATCAAGCTGCAGCGTCAAATTACCAATCCCAGGGCTGGAGAGATAGCACAGAGGATAGGGCATTTGCCTTGTGCGCGGCCAACCCAGGTTCAATTCCCAGCATTCCATATGGTCCCCTGAGCAACGCCAGGAGTAAATCCTGAGTGCAGAGCCAGGAGTAACCCCTGTGCATCGCCAGATGTGACCCAAAATGAAAAAAAAAATCACCAAACCCAGCACAAAACCATCAGCCCAAGAATGAACGGGTGTGAGCCTAGTGTGTACAGATACTGCAGGGAAAACTGCATCACCAAAAAGCATGATTAAGGTACCTGAAATTAAGTACCTGAACTTAAATGATATGACTGTTTACGCAGGGCAAAGGCAGCTCAGTGGTGAAAAACACAAACTTGAGTCATGTATAGACAAACCAGTTCTAGTCTAAATTCTAACTTACATTAGCTGTGTGAGTTTGGGCAAGTATTTATTTAAATACTCGGTACCTTGATCTCCTGTAAAATACGGAAAATAGTGCTACTCTACTTTATATTAAATGAGTTAATATAATAAAAAATTGGGACAGTATTAACTATGTCAATATTGAGTAAAATGTTTATTTGATAAACTAGAAATCAAATGAAATTAAAGAGCTTTTAGTATGGGGCAAGTGGTAGAACTTCAGAGCTAATAGTTTCCAGTAGATGAGAAAGGAATGTGCTGAATACCGCCTGAAGTGGGGTCCAGGAAGAAAAGGAGCACACTGCCAGAACCAGGCCAAGCCCCCATGCGTGTGGTGGTTTCAGAGTGGCGGTCCGGGTACCCTAGAACAGTTAGGGACAACTGCTGCTATGTAATAGGAGTCCAGACAACAACAACATCCACTGAGACAAAGTCCAAAGGTTTCAAGTGACTGTTTTGTCAGATACAGCACTCACTAGTGAAAGCTTTTATCTCAGTTTCTCTGTGGACAGCACATCTGTGAAAGGGACTTTAAACATATAGCACAGCGGTAGGACGTTCGCCTTACAAGCGGCCAACATGGCCTACCCGACTTCGATTCTTCCGCCCCTCTCGGAGACCCTGGCAAGCTACCGAGAGTATTCGATATGCCAAACACAGTAACAACAAAGTCTCCAATGGAGACGTTACTGGGCCCGTTTGAGCAAATCGACGATCAATGGGAGGGCCTTTACTTTACTATATACACATGCAAATCACTTAAAAATCAAATCTCTCGATTGTCAATAACCTTTATATTTCATCCAGTACCTAATTATTTGTGAGATTTTATGTAAAAATTACTGATGGGTTTGTAACGATCAGCCATTGATAGATAACTTTGTATTAACTGATAGAGAAATAAATACAATCCAGGACCCAATGTATTATAAACTATAAACAAAAGGTAAAGTGGAGATCAGAACATCTTAACTTTACTTTTTCTTCCATGTACATTAAACAACTCAGAAGGATGTTTACAAAACACAGATCAAAAATGGAAAGTGGACTGGAGCAATAGCACAGTGGGTAGGGCATTTGCATTGCACACGGCCGACCTGGATTCGATTTCCAGCATTCCATATGATCCCCTGCCGCACTGCCAGGAGTAATTCCTGAGTGCAGAGCCAGGTGTGACCCAATAACCCCCCCCTAATAAAAAGACAAATCCTAAGCATAAAAACTTAAGAGAAAATCACCCAATTCTACATCACAGTAGACTTTTTTTTTTAAGAAAGTGTGATACTAATATATTACCAATCAATACCAACAAAACTTGATCTTTACATGAAGATAAAGAACTCACCAGAGGGAAAATTCAAACTAAATTTACAAGGAGGAACTACTAATACTGCCTGACTAAACCCAAAGAGTTATTTCTTTTGAAGAATAATTTAAATAACAAGATATCAAAGCGCTTTAACTCTAAAATACAAAATCTCAGTACATTTAGGTTAACTACTTGAGAGAATAATGGTTTCTGAAGTATAAATATTGCTAAACGTTTTATTAAAATTTTAATAAAATACCTATGTAACTCTCTTTCCTAGACACACTTATTCCATTTTTTCATTTGCCTTGCACTATTAGACCAAAAAAGTTCTCCCATTGCTACAATTATCTTTGCATCCCACTGAGACACTAACAACATATGCAAAGACTGAAGGGTGAGACAGAATTCTCACTCAACAAAAATCCTAACTTACTTTCCATATAACCACTTATAGGGGCTGTCCTAACAATCTACTGAAGCTATATCCTCGGCTACTTCAAAAATCAGCATGCATTACTGGAGACAGATTTCAACTAGACAGGATGCTATGGAGCATATTCAGTTTAGCTAACTATGAAATAAATCTCTAAAGCAGCTACATCATTCTGTCACAGTCATTCTAAGAGATGCATGAAAGAAACACACCAAGGAAAGAAATGTTCTCATTGATTTTCTCAAAAAGAGTTTACTCAAAAAATCTCAGAAGAGAGCCACAAGCTGCAGAAATGCCTCCAGACCCTGTGCCAGGCTGCACCTCATTCCAAGCATCCAGGCAAGGGGCTGGTGAGCCCACCACTTAGTCTACGAGAGCCCCGGCAGCCAAAATCCTCCAGAACCCAATGGCTGCCATGCTCGCAGCCAATCTCCACATGATCAGAACAAGGCTCCCACATGAGAACGGATCTGCTGAAAAATCCAAGTATGCAGGATTTGTGAATGAAACCTCCAGGCTCTAATGGAGTCAGGAATGGGTGAGCTCCCCCCATCTCCTTGTGCTTCTGGGAGCCTGGAAGTCACACCCACAAATTGCCTCTGGCACCATATAAGCTCATTAGCGGCCATGATCCAGAGACTCACAAGTAAATCTCAGAAGAGAGCAACACACTGCAGAGACGTCTCTAGACCCCTAAGTCACCATGCAGTTAAAAATTTTACTATAACTCTATCACCCTATTTAAAATTTTAGAATTTCTGGAGCGACGTCTCATACTCTACACCACTGATTTCCCAGAGTAGCTCACCATATTTGATGGGGTATAAAGTAGAAGGCAACCAATCTCGATAAATATATATATATATGTATATATATATATATATATATATATATATACAAGTCTCAACCTGTAACACCATGTTAGTTAAGCTCTTACAACAAGAGCTTAATAATTCCAGGGTGAGACACAACAATCTTCACACACTTTCCTCTAAGGAAACTTTTTTGGATCATTTTCAGCAGATTATTCATAACAAACAATACAATGCAAATTATTTAGAATTTGCCTTTGGGGCAAGCTTGGATGGTGGTGGGTAGATTTGAAATAATGGTGGTAGGAGGGTGCAATGGTGGTGGGATTAGTGTTGGAATACTGAATGTAATAAATTGTGAGCAACTCTATACTGTTTTTGAAAAGAGTTCACACCCATTAATAACTTCTTCCTTCCAGTAATCTCTGACCTTTTTCTAGGACTGTATCCTCATAGTTAATCTCCCCTCCCCTCTTCGTCTCTCCTCGTAGCACAAGAATATCAAGAAATTAGGGAAAATTAAAGGTAGAACATTTACTCAAATTGGATAAGGTCCACTACAGTAGGATTTCTTACCAAGAACTGCAGAGCATATTCAGAGGGTCAAATCCAGCAAGCAACAGAGCCGGTAACCATTCTTTGTATTCTTTCTGAGCTTTAACTGCATGAACTATAAATTCAGATATGTGGTACCAAGGTTCCACTGGGTAGCTTTTCTTCAAAAAGTAGCGAAACTCTGAAAACATCTCATACTTCAGACAATACGCCAAATGAACTTCATTTAGCTGGGCACCATACTTCAAAAGAATATTCACAATTCTGAAAAATTCACAGCTGCACCACGAAAAAATAGTAAAAATAATAAAGGAAAGAAGGGAAAAAAGAGAAAATGTTGGACTTTTACATTATAAAAATGTACTCCTTACAAACACCTCTAAGTTTCAGCCACAGAAGAACAGACAGTTTAATGATGACTTTTCCAGGTATAACAAACAAACTGAAATTAGAAGACAGGGCAGGGGCAGAGAGTCATTTACTTTTCAATGTATACAAACCTGCAAGTTTTCTTGCAACGATAAACAGAGAATACCTTTAGATTTTAAAAAGAATCATTTTACAATTTTTAAATTATCATTATCATTGATAAGCAGGTTAATTCTCATTATAATGTCTAGTATATTTCATCATCTATAAGAAAACTCATTAAACAGAGTCAGTGAACTCTGAAAGAGACACAACTCCCATTCAAGGAATTTCCAAGTTACTATTTCCTTTAGCAACAGCAACAGACTGGGCTAATCTATTACTTTTAAATGCCTAATGCTAAGAAGCAACAGTGAGAAAAGCTCTTCTATTAATAAACATTTTAATGTACCACTTTATATTCTGTGTGTATGCATACTATGTGGTATACAATATATATATGTGTATATATATATATATGTTTTGGGACAACAACTGGCAGTGCTCAGGGGTTATTTCTGACTTTGAACTACGGAATCACTCCTGGTGGACTTTGGGGGACCATATGGGATGTCAGGGATCAAACCTGAGTTAGGCCCACCGATCTCCGCCAGAGGACAGCACGGACCCGCTGCGCGTCCAGCTCCAGGACTGGCCGCCCAGCAGTCCACCGGACCCCCACATCCAGGTGGGTTGGAGGAGCCCAGCCGAGGACCGCCCCTGACCCCAGGCGCGCCGCCCGACCACCGATCCCCGCCAGAGGACAGCGCAGGCCCGCTGCGCGTCCAGCTCCGGGACCGGCCACCCAGCAGTCCACCGCCCCCCCCCCCATCCAGGTATGTCACTCACTTCAAGCAATTTGGACCTTCATCCTTTCATCCTTTTCATCAACTTGTCACCTAATACCAACCAAAAATTTCTCACCTCTTCTAATACAAGTCAACACATCCCACTCGCCTACTCCATTTCCAATAAAAGTCCTGTTTGAAAATAGCTGTACAAGCTCAGTAGTAAATAGCACCTCCTCCAAAAGTTTCAATCAATGTCAGTTATAAAACAAAGAATAACGCCTGATTGAGAAGAAGGTCAGACTCAGAAGGTAGAAGAGGTCCATCTACCAGCAACAAAGCTGAACGGCTCCTGGCATTCTCTAATCACCCAACCAGAATAGTAACAGTGACTGTGAAGGACCAAACCACACTGGTCACAATGGTAAAGCAACACAAAAACCCACCAAACTTTCTTATTCACGAGGTTAGCCCAGAAGACAGCAACAGTACTATAGCGTTAGACAACCTCTCTGACAAGGAATTCAGAATGGAGCTACTTAGGATGCTTAGGGAACTAAAAGAAACAATGGAAAGCAATGAAAATGAAAGACAAGAAGATTTGAAGGCAGAAATGAGGAAAATGCAATTGGAAATGTCGGACCTGAAAAACCTGGTAGCCAAATTGAAAACCTCAGTGGAAGGCCTCAGCAGCAGAGTAACAGCAGCTGAGAACAGAATCAGTGAGCTCGAAGATCAAATTCAGAGACTTGCCAGAAATGAGCAGAAAATGGAAAAGAGACTCACAGTTCGAGAACAGATGGCAAGAGAAGATTGTGACAAAGCCAAAAGGGGTAACATAAGAATTATTGGAGTCCCAGAGGGACAGGAAGAAAACGTTGATGAAGAAGAAACTGTCAAAGAAATCATTGCTACAACGTTTCCAGATCTGAAGAAAACTAGGGACCACATTCAGGAGGCCCAAAGGGTACCAGCTAGAAGAAATCCGAATAAAAACACCCCAAGACACATCCTGATCAAAATGACCAAAACCTTAGACAGAGACAAAATTCTGAAAGCAGCAAGATCGAAGAAAGAAATCTCTTACAAAGGAGCATCCCTAAAATTCACAGCTGATTTTTCTGATGAAACCCTCAGGGCCCGAAAACAGTGGTGGGACATAGTGAAAAAACTCAATGAAATAAATGCCTCTCCACAAATACTTTACCAGCGAGACTCTCATTCATAATAGGAGGAACAACACACAGTTTCACAGACAAACAACAGATCAGGAACATCATAGACTCAAAACCATGGTTACAAGTACAACTAAATGGGCTACTTTAAGGCAAGACAGGCCCCGCAAATACACCAAATTTCAACAGAACAATGGGACAAAATCCCATAACAATAATCTCTCTCAATGTCAATGGGCTAAACGCACCAATTAAAAGACATAGAGTGGCAGGATGGATTAGAAAATTGAACCCAACATTCTGCTGCCTGCAAGAAACACATCTCTATAGTCAAAGCAAACACAGACTCAGAGTCAAAGGCTGGAAAAAATCCTACAGGCAAACAACTCTCAGAAAAAAGCTGGGGTAGCCATCCAAATATCAGACCACATCGATTTCAGAGTGAAGAAGGTCATAAGAGACAGTGAAGGCCATTTCCTATTGATCAAAGGATCTGTACAACAGGAAGAACTTACAATAATAAATGTATATGCACCTAATGAGAGACCAGCAAAGTACTTAAAACAACTACTCATAGATTTGGAAAAAGACATCAATAGCAACACAATATTAGTGGGAGACTGCAACACCGCTTTGTCACATCTTGATAGATCAACCAGACTCTAGCTTAGCAAGGACATACTTCATCTGAGGGAAACAATGGAAGAAAGGTACTTAGTAGATATATACAGGACACTTCATCCACAAAAACCTGAATGCACATTCTTCTCAAGCGTACATGGAACATTCTCCAAGATAGACCACATGCTGAGCCACAAAACATGCCTCCATAAAATTAAGAAGATAGAGATTGTATCAACAATCTTCTCAGACCATAATGCGCTGAAATTAGAAGTAAATCACACACAAAAACAGAAAACTAAATCAAACACCTGGAAATTAAACAGTGCGCTATTAAACAACGAGTGGCTTAGACAGGAAATTAAAGAGGAAATCAAAAGATTCCTAGGAACGAATGAAAATGAGGACACGAGTTACCAAAACTTATGGTACACAGCAAAAGCGGTCTTAAGAGGAAAGTTTATAGCTCTACAAGCATTCCTCAGAAAGGAGGAGCGAGCCCACATAAATAAACTAACCTCACAGCTTAAGAACTTGGAGAAGGACCAACAAAAGGAGCACAACCCTAACAGGAGGAACGAAATAATAAAACTCAAAGCAGAGATTAACGAGATGGAAACCCAAAAAACAATCCGAAAGATCAATGAAACCAAGAGCTGGTTCTTTGAGAAAATTAACAAGATCGATAAGCCCCTAGCAAAACTCACAAACAAATGTAGAGAGAAAACCCTAATAAACCGAATCAGAAATGAAAAGGGGGTCATTACAACAGAAACTACAAAAATTCAAAGGATCCTCCGGGAGTACTTTGAAAAGCTTTAAGCCACGGAACATCAAAACCTCAAGGAAATGGATAAATTCCTAGACTCCTACAGACTCCCAAGGCTGAACCAAGAAGGCCTGGAATACCTGAACAGACCTACCACCATCAAGGAAATTGAAGTGGTAATAAAAAGTCTCGCCAAGCACAAAAGCCCTGGCCCGGATGGATTCACCAGTGAATTCTTCCAAATCTTTAAAGAAGACTTACTCCCAATCCTCTTGAAGCTTTTCCACGAAATTGAAATATCAAATACACTTCCGAACACTTTCTACGAAGCAAATATCACACTGATATCAAAAGCAGACAGAGATACCACAAAGAAAGAGAATTACAGACCGACATCCCTGATGAACACAGATGCAAAGATCCTCAACAAACTCCTAGCAAATAGAATCCAACTACTCATCAAAAAGATCATACACCATGACCAAGTAGGATTCATCCCAGGGATGCAAGGATGGCTTAACATTCGGAAATCAATCAACATAATCCATCATATCAACAAAAGAAAAGATAAAAAGCATATGATCATATAAATAGATGCAGAGAAAGCATTTGACAAGATCCAGCACCCCTTTATGATGAAAACCCTAGCCAAAATGGGTATAGAGTGGACTTTCCTCAACACAGTTAAAGCCATCTATCACAAGCCTACAGCAATCATCAACCTCAACGGGGAAAAACTGAGAGCCTTCCCTCTAAGATCAAGGACGAGACAAGGATGCCCAATCTCTCCACTGCTATTCAATATAGTACTGGAAGTACTTGCAATAGCGATTAGGCAAGAAAAAGATATTAAGGGCATTCAGGTAGGAAAGGAAGAAATCAAGCTCTCACTATTCGCAGATGATATGATACTATACATAGAGAACCCAATAACCTCCACCAAAAAACTACTAGAAACAATAGACTTGTATAGTAAAGTTGCAGGCTATAAAATCAATACCCAAAAGTCCATGGCTTTCCTATACGCAAATAGTGAGAGAGAGGAAAGCTACATGAAAAAATCAATCCGGTGCACAATTGTGCCCCAGAAAATCAAGTACCTGGGAATCAGCTTAACTAAGGAAGTAAATTACCTGTACAAAGAAAACTACAAAACGCTACTTCAGGAAATAAAAGAAGACATGAGGAAATAGAAAGATATCCCCTGCTCATTGGTCGGGAGACTGAACATTGTCAAAATGGCAATACTACCGAAAGCATTGTATAAATTCAATGCAATCCCTATAAGGATACCCATGACATTCTTCAAAGAAATGGAGCAAACACTCCTGAAATTTATATGGAACAATAAGCCCCAACGAATAGCTAAAGCAATTCTTGTGAAAAAGAAAATGGGAGGAATCAACCTCCCTAACTTCAAACTCTACTACAAAGCTGTAATAATCAAAACAGCATGGTACTGGAACAAAGGCAGAACTGCAGACCAATGGAACAGAGTTGAATACACTGACATCTCCC